AACAGAACTTTGGGCAACTTATAACATTAAAAGCCAATAAAACCATAAAAACACATATTTATAATAACAGTAAAAATACAATTAAAAAGATGGGGAGGAAGAGAGCAGGTTGTACAATGGGGGAAAGTTGAATCTTCTTTTAATCCATCAACCACCTCCAGCATAATGCACCATTGTTGGGGCCCCAAGCCAACTGGCAAAGCCAGATCTTCAGGCCCTTATGGGTGGTCTAAAGAGATGTTTCAAAGGGCAGGTGCCTGGACCCTGTCAGATGAAATTCATTGAACAACAGAGTTCACCGCATGCCCCTTCTGCTGGGACAGGTGGAGCAGGCCAGTCCATTTGGACGAGACAATTCCTCACATAGCCTGGAACCATGGCATGCGGGGCTTTAAAGATTTTCTTTTTGCTCATATGGAAAGAGCTTGTTTTCAACTAATGCTATTGGACTGTATCAGCTGCAATACCATTCAGCAATTGAAAGTTTTTGTTAAGCAGATAATTGGCCTGTAGTTGCAGGATGCTGCCCTTTTTGCTGAACATTGCATTATCAGATAGGATTTGCAAAATGTTAACAATGTTAAATTTCACTTCCTTGTGGTATGCTACTAAACTGTTCGGCAATGAACGTGTGCATATTAGTTCAATGCCAACACTCATACAGTTCATCTTCACCAAGATGGTGCTGATGAATTGGTAAATAGTCAATGCTTGATCCTCCTTGCTCCTTGCAACCTGCGGCTCTGGAGCCACATGTGGCTCTTTTGGCCTTCTGCTGTGGCTCCCTGTCGGCTGATCCCACCACTGGCTCCCCATCACTCCTCGCCTGGCCTGAGAAGGTAAGGGTGATGGCAGGGGATGGAGACTCGTTCCATATTCCAGAGCAGATGACTGGGTGGGAGTGAGTGACATTGAGTTGGCCACGCCACCCAGTCACACCAGTTGTTAAATTATTGGCTCCTGGTGGTTTTCTTTCTGTGGAAAATGGGTCCAAATGGATCTTTGAGTGTTTAAGGTTGCAGACTCCTTTTCCTTGCCTTTTTCTCCATTATTTTATACTGTTATTGGTTGCACATTCAGCCAGATGTTTAGATTAGTTTTGGCATTTTTATCCACCTATCAAGTCCTTTCTAAGGATTTGGGATTAGTTTTACTAGTGTGTGATGCTAACGCCAACCAGTGGGCTCATAAGCCATAGTTTATAGTTAATAAACAATGTCAGGAGTGTCAAACTGGTTCACCGTGGGCCTGATGCGTCAAGCACAGGCCACGCCCACCCCAGCTCCACGGAGGGGAAAAACGTTGATATGTCACATAACAGCATGACACCGTGAGTTTGACATCTGTGAACTATGTGAACTCTCTAGCTGTGATTCCTTCAATATATCATGTTTAAGCCAATCATAGCTTAGTATGTTGCATGACCATGTGATATGTGGAGATTTTTATTTCAAGAGAATCTTGAAAAATTACGATTGTACCTTATTCTGAAAAATTCATGGCCTACTGAGCATGAAAAAGTCTTGCTGTGTTTTCTTTAAAACGGGTGTCCTAGGTTTGGGGTTTTAAGGATATTTTAAAACCATGGAGTCTTTTTTCTCGTTTTTAAAAGGAGTTCAGTCTCCCAAACCAGGCTTGCAACCATCACATCCTGCGTTTCTTTCCCAGCGTTTAAGCTCCTCTGCATCACTGCATAGCGTTGAGAAAACAATAACCCGCTTCTGCTGTCCGCCCTCCCTCACCAGCTCCGCTGACCTTTATTTCAAGGAGTCATCCGACTACCTCGGTCCCTGCACAGAGAACGACAGCCGGCTGCCTATGCGTTTGCATAACAAAAGCCTGCCATCCAGCCGACGCCTGGGAATGTCGTCGTCACCCCTCGCCCTCCTTCCTCCCCCTCCCGTCGCCCCCGCAGCATATTTGCTTCTCATTTTCCAGCCTCCTCTGTCTGACATTTCATACATTCATCCAAAAAGGCGAGGGGGGGGCGGGGGGGAGGATGAAGCAATGAAGTATTTGTAAGGAGAGCGATGCCTTGAAAACCCTTTGTCGTTTGCAACCCCTTCTCCGCATTGATGTTTCAGGGCGACCGCATCACTTTCTGGGAGGAGGGAGGGAGAGGTGCGCGTTGACGTATTCTCTATGGGCCTTTTGGAGCAGCGGGCTATTGCTCCCTTGATTTGGGCCGTTGCTATGGGTTACGGGATTACGGCCGGCGACAGCCTTCTCTCTCTCTCTCTTTCTCTCTCCCCCTGACAAACAGCCCCCAGCAAAGCTCAGGCACATGGAGGGAGCCTGGAACACACATTCCCCGGGCGGGAGGGGGGAAGCGAGCGAGCGAAGTGCTGCTGCTTGCTTGCTGCTTGCTGCTGAGGCAGCGCTCTGTGCGCGCCGGCGATTCCGCGTGCGGCATTTGCAGCTGCGGGGGCAAAATGTCCAGCATGCGGGGTTGAAAACAGGGGGGCGGGCAAGAAAAAAATGGATCAAAGCCTTGAGGTAAGAAACCAGCGAACTACTATACTCTATGCCAGGTCGAAGGTGCAAAACTGGCCCAAGAAACCAGGTTTGGAGAGAGAGAGAGGAAAGCTAATGGCTATAACTGATGGCCAGGCATCCCTGTTTCGCTTCTCCTAAAATGAAGCCAGATGGCTTACGAATGGATTTATTTATTTATTTATTGCTTCGTGCAGGGAGATAGCAATCAGAGACGGGAAGTTTCAGGCGATCCAAAAAAACTAAGCCGGTAGCGGGGAACGGAATAGAGTACTTTTAAACATAAAAAAATCCTTCCCAGCGTAACAATTAACCAATGAAAGGGAAAGTTTTTGAGTTTGAAGAAGCGAGACGACGGCGAAATTCTAAGCAGTTGGCTTGTCGGAAGCGAGTGTTTGCAAAGCAGAGAAGGCCAGCAAGGAAAGGGTTACGTTGAAAAGCCGAAAAGTTCAGATGCGTCAGCCCGTGTCCACTTGATTCTTACCCCATTGGCCTTTTGCAATTATAATTCTCTGTTTTTCTGATTTTATGTGAGGTTAAACTGGAAAGCTAACCAATTCTTCCTATTTGATGGATAACTGTAGGTAAAAATACTTATTTTCTTAAAATTATTTCTAATCGGCATAAAATTATGAGGAAGAGAGGGTAATGTATTTGCAGGGGAGCTAAACATTTTCCAATAATAAAAATAATTTATTTCCACTTTAAATTTTGTAAAATGTGATCTACTAAAAAGAAAGGGCTGTCAGGTTTTATAAGGGATTTGTTAGAAACAGGAACAAAAACTTTTTAAAAATTTAAGCAAAATTAAAGTATCACTGCAAAAACAATCAATTTTAGAAAGGGAAAACATTAGGGAAAACACTGAATTAATGCACTACTGCTTATAACTATTAACTACTAAGAAAATAGACTTCATACTCTGCTAGATATTTTTGCCTGCTTTACATGAAGTTTTAGCAGATTTAATTTATAAAATGAGCTGTACAATTACATGAACTTATTTGCAAAGCTTTGTAATAGCAAGTTGTTACAAAAAATCTTCAGAAATGAAGGTGTGGGAATTACCTAAATTGTATGTAAGTAATAAAATTTGTCTTACTATAATATACAAAAATATGGGTGACAGACTATGAAAAATATATAAACTTAGAAAACAAATTCCTTTTCCTTGTCTATATTGCATAAAATAAATAAAATGAGTGAGAACAAACTGAATCCCAAAATGGGAGGTGTGACTTGGAAAATTAATGGGCTTTTTTAAAAAAGAAAATTGTTTTATTTGTGCTATCTTAAAATATGTCATTACGTTCAGTATGACATCACACACACACACTATACATAAGTGTGTGTATATGATATAATCTTGCAATTTAAAATATCAAGACTGCAAAGACAAAAATAAATCAACAAAGAAAATGTTTTATTTTGAAATTTAACAAAACAGAAGCATTTTCTAAACATTTTAAGAGTCCACACGGTTGCGATTAAGTATTTCACTAATAGACACTTGATAGACATAAAATATTTCAAGGGTCATCTGCAATCAGATGCATTCCAAAATAAACAATTTAAATATATTTACTTCATGTTGACCATGTAAAGGTTTGCTGTATGAAAAGTATGAATATGGTAATACTGAAGCATCATGATTAATATGCCCCATATTTATAAACCAAATGACAAACTGCATCAAATCCAGCAATTCACAGTGGAATTCGAATGTAGCAGTGGTTCCCAAGCCTTCTATTTGCTATACTTAAGACTGAAATAATTGTTTATCCTCCAGCAGGCATCAATTAAATGACATCACATAAGTCTTTAGACATCATAAACTAAAATTAGTAATCACTTAATTTATAGCATACACATTGCTTCAAATTACTTCACAGTAATGACTCTTGATTTCTGTAAACAACAATACTTATACTTCTGTAAAGCAGCAATACTTATTCCACTTTATTTGGGTTTTTTTTCCCTTTCCTCAGTTGGATGCCTTTTGTTCATTTTATTGTAACAGCAGCAAACACTGCACTTGTGATTTTACTTACATGTTCAGGCAGTTACCTAAACATAAATAGCTAGCACTCTTTGTAATTAGACCTAAATAATTTTATCCAATTCAATAAAATAAAATAATCTGCAAGAACTCCAAGACCTTCAAAAAGTATTACTTAATATGAATATAATATGAAAACTAGTAAATACATAGTAAACACATTTTTGGATTGAGTAACTGCTTAATTTTACTGAGGATTTCCAAAATGAATTGAGTTTTCGAAGTTGTCCAGCTAGATACTTTAAACATATATATCCCTAAAAAATTAAATTGTCTTTTGTTATTTCCTGCTCCTCTGGATAAAATCTAATTCCTTCACTGTTACATCTATAAAGAGAAAAAATAAAATTGAAAAAAATAGCATAATTCTGTTATAATGCAAAAAGGGTTTGATATACATTATTTCTTTACTGCATCAAAAAGCAAGGCATACTAAATTCCTTTAACCTAGTACCCTCAAATGTGATGTACTTCAATTTCAATGAGATTATGGGTCTGAAACATGGCCTGTGACAATTGTTAGGCAAGCTTAAGCCTACTGACTTCAACTTTATCTAAACAGAATGACTGAAGCACTTGATACTCTGTAATTTTGATTATAACACGGTTCAAGTTTGTTGAGATGAAGCAAATATTTTAGAATGTTTATTTACAACTAATTTAGTCATTTATTCCTGTATTGCATACTTACCTGGCAATAAGTCTCATGAAAAACTGAGTATTTTTTTAAAAAAAAATATTTTACCTATGATTTAGAATTGTTAGGTTTGTAGAATATGTATGATAGAATTATGTGGCTATTTAAAATGCCAAATGAAAATAGAATTTGTATATTTTGAGGTCAGATATTCCAACATATTTCAAAATCATTCATTCAGAGGTTTTTTCTGTTCTCCCTTATAATGACCCCCAAAGGATTACACCAGGAAATCTAAGATACTGAAGGTGTCTCTACAGATGTAATTCATAACTGTTCAACAAAATAAATCAGGTTTCCCCTGCTTGGCCTGCAAAATAACTTGGGCTAATATCTCTATAATTCCCAGCCCACATGACCTCTACTGCATATACTGTATATTTTTCAAAACTGGTTTGAAAACAGAAAGCACGTGCTTTGGAAAGTAGTTGGAAAGGTCACATGCAACTTTCAAGTTATGCCTGTCATTCCAGGAACCGCATAGTGCAAATAATATTTCAGGGTTCTTCGGGAGCTCTGCTTGCTTTATGTCTGTGTGAATTGCTATCATCGCCACTGTGTTCAAGCCCACAGGATGAACTGCAGAGGGAAAAAAAGGGGTGGGGGGTGGGGAGAGAGGAAATTGGTTTTCACAACACACTCAAAGCCTGAGTAACAGAGGAGAACTTTAATTATCCCCAGTCACAAAAGAGAGACAGGAAATTTGGACTTTTAATTAGTCATTTGGAGTGCAGTTGGATATTTTTTTAGCAAGATAATTTAAACGTGAATAATTCAAGTCTGACTAAATGAAATTCACATAATCAGAATGCAGATAATTGAATTTCTACTGCATTCATTAATTCAATGTGGAGGTGTATGCAAAGACTTCTATGATGAGCTGTCACAGCTCAATAAAATCTCAGTCAATTAATTTTTTTCATTATCTTAGCATTGCATCAACAACAAAAATGCTGAAGTGTTTTTATTATCATGTGTGCATGTTTAGCAGAATGTAAGGAAGTAACCTCTCAGAATCTGAATCGGCATAATTTTCTTTTTTCTTCTCTTCATGTTCTACAGGAAATCGTCGTTTCAAACAAGCAAAGTCATGGATTGCTTCAGCCACAGAATATTTCGTGTTTCCAGATACACAGGCCTCAATATCTTCAGGACTCAGTTGTGTTTGTACAAATAGATGAAGTCTACTGTCTGAAAGCAAAACTGGATTCTGGAGTACCCTTTAAAAAAAATACAAAAAATTCATCTGCCTTCCAAGAACGTTCAATATTTGTTGCCTTAAAGTTACTTTTAACTTCATACCCATTGCAATTTGAATGCAGTATAAATGTTAGAATTTTTGAGTAAGTGATACTTACCTTTATTAAAGTGGGATTTTAGGTGAGTAAAATAACATATAGCTAATAGTTATGAACATCTGTTATATAAGTAATTTTCAAGGACTTTTTTTTCTGTTGCTACCATGTGAATCAATTACTAGTTTGGCTGGGGGGAAAGAATGTGTGCCTGTATGTGTGGGAGAGCTAACATGGGAAATGATGCATAATCAGTAATTCTGAATAATAAAACTGTTGCCTTAAAATAAGGGCATTATAGAATTTACAGAAATTAAATGCCTATGTAAAACTTCAATTAATTTTTAATTTTACTTCAATTAATTTTTAAAAGTGTTTCTGACTAAGCATGTAATCTTAAAATGGGAATGCTCAGTTCAGCAAATATTTAAAATAATTTAATACATTAAATATAAACATCATTATGGGGTTACTTCCAACCACACACCATGTCATAAAATCTATTTTTCCAATCTAGTTTTATTCAAAATTAAAAAAATTATTTAATCCAGCAAATATAAATCCCAAAATAACATTACTTCTATATTAAAATTGTGGAAATTCAGATATTTACTTTTTTATTTAATATTTGTTGAAGTCAGTTAATTACTTTTATCATTAAATGTTCTCTTAATCAGAATTCTTAAATCCAACTGGGGATAGTCAATATAAAAATTCCAGAACTTTGGTTTATAATTGGCAATCATTCAGGATAAATTTCTATCAGAGAACTCATTATTTTAATATGAATAACCAATGCTGTACTATGCCTTCTGTACAAGAATAATCTCAAAATATCTCATAACCCTGTTTTAAAGAAAGGACATCCGGATTAATTCTATTAAATATAGCTATGAAAGAATCAATATGGACATTATGTAGCCTTTGTAACCTAGTGTCTTATAGATATTATAAAATTAGAGTCTACATTATTTGTCATCAGAACAATGGGACCTGTAGTCTAACAAATTTCAAGGATGTCAAATTAGGGAAGTCTGATGCAGTGAAGAATATTTTTATAATAACTCATCAGGTCAATAGAATAGAAAAATAGGGTTTGATCTATTTCCTGCTGGCTATATAATATGAAAAACAATGGCTGAGGCATATTCTTGAATTGAAGGAAGAGAAAAATTAAATCATTTAAAAATTGGAATGATAAGAGAAGAGGGAAATAAAATGAGGGTTAGACCAGTCTCAATTATGTGTGCTGGAAACGAAACATGAAGGCATCTCTTTTGATCTAGACAGTCATCTTACATATCTAAGCAAAAAAAAAAAAATCATCTACGAAGTCCCTTAATAGCTAGGCAGGAGAATAATAAAATTACTACTGAAATTCTAATTATTCCATTAAGTATGTGCAATATCATGATGCACATATAAAGGAAATAGTACTTATATCATGATGCCTGTTTCATCATTTGCCCCCACAATGGACATCCATACTCATTTGTTTCCTGAATTTAAGTCCCCACTCATCCATAAAGGTTCTTGGATTTTCCTTCATTCTACCCAAGCCCACTTAAATCTAACCCATTTTACAAAGTTGTTATGAAAATAAAATTGGGGAGAGGGAACCCTGCATGCTACCTTGAGACTTTGGGGAAATAAAGTGAAATATAAAATAAATAAACAGGAAGCATACCAACCCTTGAAACTCTTTCTCCCTTAAAATCAAAACTAGCCTATTCACTTCCACCAGGTTTCTAATTTAGTCTTTAAAACAAGGATATCTTGGATAATACAGATTTATCAGTTTGTGAAGTCACACTCCTGTCTGAACCACCTCAACCTCCAGTTGAGGGCAAGGTGGCATCCTGATATAAAAAACGAGGGTCTCATATCTTTAGATCTCTATTTCTTTCTGCTGTGAAAATATATTCTGCATATGTATGTCCAGACCACTACTGAACATTATGAAGTGGCCAATTTGTCATGCAGCAGAGCTCCAATACAATACATGAAAGCATGCAATGAAGAGCTGTTTGGCTGTTTGCAGAGGATGCTTTGCCCAAGCCACAATCAAATCAAAGGGTTCCTTCAAGGTTTTGTACAGATATAATTCATACATGCAGGCAAGAATGCTCTGATATATTATCTAATTGCATGCACATTAACATAAACATTACACACAAAGCTCAGATATTTGTCAACTCTAGTGGATTCTGCTAATTGCCGTGGTCATTAAAGATGCTACATACGTCATTCTCCTCAGGCCGTGATGAAGGGGACAAAAATATTACTGGTAATCTAACTAATACTATTTTATCTTAATCATAGAGCTATTCAATTATTTTAAAATATTTAATGTGTATATCATTTTTATCTAGTATAAATTGTCCTTTTCAACTCCAATATACCTATATTAATATAAGATATTGGACAGTATTGTTTTTGGAGCATACCCTCTATCTCAGAACCCATTGAAAGATTAAGTGTGACCTTCATCTGAAAAATATAGGCAACTTTTCTTTAAATTCCATTTCAAGCTGAATCATGTTACATAAGAAATCCCAAACAAACTAAGCATTAATCATCCCATCTCTGATAGGATTTTTCTCATTCCACGGAAAAATCCTATCAATTTACTAACAGAACGTCATAACCAGACACTATTGTTTAAAGTATGCATATAATATGCATATAGAGATAAAGAGGGGACAAAAATATTACTGATAATCCAACTTGGTATTATTTTATCGTAATCATACATCTGTGATCATACAATTTAATTCTCAATAGATATTTTCAGTGGTTGCTTTAGAAGTGTGATTTTGTCACCAAACTAAAACCTAAGTAACTGTTGATACAATTACACCACAGTTACTTCTTTGTTACTGTTTGAAATGCATTTTAGTTTCTTTGTAAAATAATGGGTAATCTTTAAAATTGATTTTTGATGGTTTGAGGCATTGCACCACAAAAATAATGAACACTAATGTCAATGATATTGGACAGAAATTCATTTTAGCTTTATTTCATGTCCAGTGCAATTTTGTTAAGCCTTGAACTGCCAAAGCACTGTTATTAACTTGCTGGTAACCTAACATATGGGAACAGCAAACAAAAGTGATAAGAGTACAGGTTGATCTAAGCACATCAAGGCTACCATTAGCCCTCTCCTGCCCCTCCCTGCCACTACAATTCAATTTCCACTTTTATTTTTCACTGGATTCATTACTTTACAGTCATTCTTTTTTCTGCTTAATAGTGCCATCTGGAGGCTTAAAAAACTGATCAGTTCAAAGATAATAAATTAAAAACAGATAGGGTATCCTAGAAATGCAAATATGCCAAGTGTGAACAGACATGTATTGAAAGGTCTAATATCTGTCAGTCCTTTGAGGTAACCAGGTCAAGAAAAAGTGCCGGCAGGAATTCCAGAAATGCTTTTCTTATTGCAATAAAGTAGAATAACAACCTTACTGCAATACTGTTTATGTCCCATTTTAAGTAAAAACATGGAATTATTTGAGGCTTTATTCCCAAGTTTCCCTCTACCTCAAAACTCTATAATCTTTTTCTTAAGTCTCCCCTTAACAGCTTGTTTCTTCCTTCCGTATCCGCAAGGTCGGTTCTATATTCCCATATATTTTGCTACTTAGGAAGAACAATATTTAATATTTGCCTTTGATCCATGATCCAGATTTGGATTGAAATGGGAGACAGAGGTACAGTTTAAATCAGGGATGACAAACTCAAGGCCTGTGGGACAGATCCACTGTGCAGAGTGCTTGAATCCAGTTGACAGGGCCGGCCTGGAAATATCAAGGGACCAGTCTGTGGTACCTCTGGCAGCTAAAACAGGTTTTGTGCGGCCCCTTGCATCTCGTTTTCACCCTGCATGGCCTCCTGCAGCACTCTGCTGGCTGAAACTGGGCTGAAAAACGCCTAAAATCAGGCCCAAAACAGTTGGAAAATGGGCCCAAAACAGGCCGAAAATGGGCTGAAAAATGACCCGAAAACGGGCCATATGGCCTGTTTTTGGCCAGCAGGAGACCATGGAGGGCAAAAATGAGGCACGGGGGCTCTGTGCAGATCCCTCATGCCCCATTTTGGCTTGCAGGGTGCTGCAGGAGGCATCCATCCTGTTGTCCTGCTGCCACCCTGCCACCCTTCCCAGCTGCTGCCAGCCCACAGACTACAATGCTGATCCGGCCCTTGAAGAAATCCAGTTTGACCTCCCTGGTTTAAATCATGGTTTGATCAGATATTATGCTTTTTACCAGCCTTGTACACTTGGCTTCTAGTTTATTTGCTTGTAAACAGTGCTTAAACCTGTTTCAGACATCACAGGAGAAGGTAATAAACAAAGTCTGTTGCTTCTCTCCACTTCTCTTTAAATAGAAACATGGGGAAACTAAATTCACATGATAAACCCCAATCTGAATACAAGTCTGTTTCCATATCCATCTTACCTGGTTTTGCTAAGCTATAATGTAGCTAGTCTGGTTTGGCTTAGCATAAATCATAATACATAGATGATCATTATGTATCTGAATCTTACAGATATCATTTGTTTGAAAAAAATTCTCTAATATTAAATATATTTTACCATACTGTGGAATAGTATGGCGCTATAGTACTATCTAATACGTAGCTTATAGATAGCACTTGAATTACAACCTTTCATCCAACAATTCAAAGTTATGACAATGCCAAATAAATGCTGGTTAGCCCTGCTCCTGTTCTAGTGAGTCCAGCACCTGCAGTCATGTGGTCTCAATTTGGACACTTGGCCACAAATTCACACTTAAAACAGCTGCAGCATCGTACATCATACTTTGCAACTTTCCTGCCAGCTTCCCACAAGTCAATGGGGAAGCCGGCAGAGAAACCATCCCAGACCTCTGCACAGCACCTCACTGCTCATCAATCTCCCT